CCTAAAAAAGAATAAAGCATCTCTTCGAGGTCTGGTCCCTCATACGGTCGATTTTACTACCATGTATACTAATCTTCCTCATCAACGCATTCTTGACAATGTTGCTAACGCCGTTGATGAGGCACATGCCTACGCTCTTGCACAGGCACAGCAGCATACACGGACAAGTTCATCCTGTGTTGCTCTTCGTATGGTGGTCCGTGGACCGCGTGCAGAAGAGGACAACCGATACGGGACCTGACACTCTTTCTGTGTCGGACATTCTTCAACATCTTTGGTTTATTGTTACTAATACATATCTATATACAGCGGATGGCCTTGTGCATCATCAAGACGTCGGTATCCCTATGGGGACAAATGCTGATCCTAAGATTGCTAATCTTACACTTTATTGGGATGAGGCGCAATACGTGGACAACCTGCAACGTGTGGATCCTTCTGCTGCTCGTCAATATGCTTTCACTTATCGTTTCATTGATGATGTCCTCACTTTCGGTTGCCTCCCGCCATCGCCAGCCTGTTATGGTCTGGAATGGAAGGAGACAACGGATCTTGATGGTTCTTGCACTTTCTTAGGTGCGAAGCTGCAGACACGCACAGATGGATCCCTCCGATTGAGTGTGTATGATAAGACTGTTGCATGGGGTTTCCCTGTTATACGATACCCTAGTGCAACGTCAAACATTCCATCTCATCAGCCTGCAGGTGTGTTCACTGGCCAGCTAACTCGGTTTGAGCAGATTGTGACAATTGGCATGATTTTAAAACGGCAGCAGCTTTGCTTGCCCGCCGTTTGCTTTCCCGTGGCCATGTTCCATCAACACTGGCTCGAGGATGGACTCGTTATATTCGTGCTCGCCAGCGTCGGCAGCCTACACATGTGACGAGACTTACACAATGGTTTCGTCGCGTGCTTCATTGGTCCATGCATCATCCTCTTCCACCCTCTCCTCCCCTTGCTACCCCTTCTCCCCCTCCCCCTCCTCCCCCTTCCTCTGTTCCATCCCTCTCCCCCTTCCCCTCCTCCTCCTCCTCCTCCTCCTTCCTCTCCTCCTCCTCCTCCTTCCCCTTGCCCTCCCCCTCCCCCCTTCTTCTCTCCCTCTCCCTTCCTCTCCCTCTCCCTCCTCTTCTTCCCCTCCCTCTTCTTCTTCTTCTTCTTCTTCTTCTTCTTCTTCTTCTTCTTCTCAACACTGTCGACTGAGATCAGCCCTTCCCTTATCTTCGTTGTCTATATTAGGACGGCGGCAGGCTCGTTCATTCTCCCCACCTCCTGGTCCCCCTTCCTCTCGGCGTCGTATTGATCCTAAACTGCCTGGTTCGTTGTCTGACCGACAACCTGCTTTGGTACTTCGACGGCGTTCTTCAATTAAACGCCGACCGCGCCAAATCAGACCGGGCCTTCCAGTGGTCACCGATTCGGATTAGCGAGCAGATCTACCAAACATTTGTGGCCTGACAGCCATGAATGTTTGTCTGCAAGCTTATCAGCGTCAAGGTTATACTGTATCTCAATTTCTTACAATTGCGTATCAGCTTGATGCTGTTGAAAATGAGTTGTTGTATGACTGTAATGGTCTACCTCCTGAGGATAGTAATTATACTACCTCAGGAGGCTTTACTATAAATGTCTTACAGTTAGCATTTCACGGTCGCCACCTTCTCATGCATTATGGGACGGCAGGCGAGGACCTTAATGCCCGTCCTCATATTTCTGCATGCATTTTGCACAAACCCGGGCACTATATGGCACTCATTCGTGCAGCTGCCAGGTGGGAACTGTGGGATGGTGGGACGGTGATTCAGTTTATTGTCAACATAAATGAATTCTTGGGAGGTTTGTCGAATCATACACTGTTCTGGATTGTTGAGCGTCTCTCGTGCGACATTTGTCGGGATAGAGACATGGTGCGTCTTGGTTGTGGAATGCATTATCTGTGTCAGCACCATTATCAATCCATTGCGACTGCCGCCGTATGTGCGGAAGGGTGTCTAACATTTCCTCATTGTGCACATCCCTATCATTCAGATGTACGTTGTCCTTTCTGTTCCCAAGGACGCTATCAGAACTGCATGATGCCGCACTGTGACGAACGTCCTGTTATTTTCTTGACATGTGGGCAACATGTCCTCTGTCGGGATTGTTTCGATGGGATGGTTCGTGCTAGCCGTCCGGCTGAATGCTGTACTAGCGCAACTCTCCTTGGGTATCCCTGTGAACATCTCCGTCATCCTCACCGTAGTTGTCCTATCTGCCGAGGGGGTGACAGATGAAGTGTAGAAGAAACAGATAAAAAAAGAAACCGAGTAAAAAGATAAACAATAAATAAATAAAAAAGGAAACCAAGGAAAAACACAAAAAAAGAAACATGAGAAAAAAGAAAAAAGAAAAAAAGAAAAATATGTTCTGTGGGATGGTAATTGGATTATCTGTGGGATGTGTCACTTGCTTCGTCTGTTTAATAGGCTTTCCTCCTGATGAGTTGGTGAAACTCCGACGAAACAGTTTGTCACAGCCCCTCGTTTGTTGTCCTCTTCTCCCGCTCTGCCTACGGTTTACCAGGCAGTTCTATTTGACGATATATAGGGTTCAGCCTCCTGATGAGTCGGTGAAACTCCGACGAAACAGTTTGTCACAGCCCATCGTTTGTTGTCCTCTTCTCTCTCTCTGCCTACGGTTTACCGGGCAGTTCTGTTTGTGACGATATATATATATATATACATATTTCAGCCTCCTGATGAGTCGGTGGAACTCCGACGAAACAGTTTGTCACAGCCCCTCGTTTGTTGTCCTCTTCTC